TTGTGTTCCAATCCGCTCAAACACTTAGCTTTCAAGCCGATCTACTCCAGGGGCGTATCATTTGGTATCAGAGCTCCTTAAAGCTAAGTGAGCTCGATTCTTTTATGTTTATGACTGTTCATCTTCTAAATCTGAGAATCGTAGATCTTGAATATGATTTTGCTTTGTTGTTGTGCCGTTGATCATTTCATTGTTTCCATTGTCATATCCTTCACATCCAATGCTTGTTTACTCATCAAGGTTACTTTTCGATCATTTTGAAATCATTTGTTCATCATCCATCACTTGTTTCATCATCATTTGATCATCTCGCCCATCACTGCCTTTTTAATTTATTCCATAATTTTAATAATTTGTCACAATTTATTCTGATCATTTTCATATAGATCTATCATCTCTGAGTAGTTGCATAATTTTTAAAATTGTTTCTATGATTTTTAAAATTGTTGCAACAATTTTCCTTTGAACTTTTGACTGCCGCGTTTTGTTTAAATTTCAGGTACTATGGTGTCAAAAGGAAGAAGGATCAAGCGGTGTTGGAGAGGCCTTGCTAGATCAGATCAAGAAATGATGGCAGAGAGTTTGATCGGAGAGATCAGATCAAACGAGGCAAAAGGAAGGAGACTAGGAATCCGATCCATATCTGATGGAGACAAGAGGAATGATCCCATGACATCTCATGGTCTCGGTGAGACAAGGCTCATGACTACTACGGCAGCGGTCATTCATCTCACTCAAGCCGGCGCCGAGCTAGAAGGCAGCGAGAAGAGCCCAACCGTATGGTTGAAAACTTGGGCGGCTACAAAATGAAGATTCCACCGTTCCATGGCCGAAACAATCCGGACGAGTACATGGATTGGGAAAAGAAGTGCGAGTTCAACTTTAACTTGCACAACATCATTGGAGACAACCGTGTCAAGCTAGCCGTCTCGGAGTTCAACGATTATGCGTTGAGATGGTGGGAACAAATCATTTTAGCGCGCGAGATTGGTGGTGCCTTTGAGGTTACTACTTGGGAAGAAATGAAGCGCATCATGAGGCAGCGATTTGTCCCTGGCCATTACCAACGTGAGCTACACTCCAAGCTCAGGAAGCTTACTCAGGTTCCAAGTCTGTGGAAGAATATTACCAGAGATGGAGGTAATGCTTTGCGCGCCAATGTGGTTGAAGATCGCGAGGCCACTATGTCTCGATTCCTTGGAGGCTTGAACCGTGAGATACAAGATATTGTGGAGATGCAAAATTGTGTGGGTCTTGAATCCATGTTCCACAAGGCAGTCTTGGCCGAGACACAATTAAAGAGGAGAAGCTCCACTCGATTCAATTCAAAACCGCGCAGACCAACCTTTCACCGCGACACCAAGTCCTTTCGCGCCCAAGACAGAAACCAAACCTCTGGCTACTAATCAAGACCGGAGCCGTACTGAGCGCACTCCACCAGCCAGACCCGTGATCTCAAGTGCTTTAGGTGTCAAGGGTTTGGGCATTATGCCTCTGATTGCTTGAACAAGAAAGTATGATCATCCGCGCCAATGGAGAGATTGAGTCCGAGGAGGATCCAGAACCGGAGAAACCAAAGGATGAAGAAGAACCTGAGGAGTATGAGGCTGTGCCTGTCCAAGGCAAACTCCTGGTAGCAAGGCGTGTCTTGAGTACTCAAGTCAAGACTGACAAGGATGAGCAGCGCGAGAACCTCTTTCACACTCGATGCTTAGTCAAGATAAGGTGTGCAGCTTGATATCGATGGAGGAAGCTGTACCAATGTGGCGAGTGAAACTATGGTTGAGAAAGTTGGGCTGACTATCAAGAAGCATCCGCGGCCTTATAAGCTTAACTGGCTGAATGAAACTGGAGAGATGAGTCAAGAACCAAGTGGTTGTGCCTTTATCCATTGGCAACTACAAGGATGAGATCCTTTGTGACATTCTGCCCATGGACGCCGGTCACATCATCTTAGGGCGGCCTTGGCAATCTGATAGGCGTGTGATCCATGATGGATTCACAAACCGCTACACTCTTCTTCATGAGGGCCGTAAAACCACTTTGATTCCTTTGAGTCCACAAGAAGTTTATGAAGATCAGTTACAACTCGCTGGAAAGGAAGTTAAGTCACCTAAGTCTCCTAAGCCAAAGAACTTCCTGGTGAAGCCAAAACAGGTTAAACGTTCCTTGAACTTAAACAAACCTTTCTCTTATTTATATATAAGGAACACTTGATTGGCTTGACTCACACTCCACCGGAGATTCCGAGTGAACTAGCTCAACTTTTGCAGGACTTTTAGCGATGTGTTTCCAGATGAGATAGTCCACCAGGCTTGCCTCCTGTCCGAGGTATTGAGCACCAGATTGATTTTGTCCCCGGCTCCACTTTACCAAACAGGCCAGCTTACAGAACCAATCCGGTTGAGACCAAGGAGCTTCAGCGCCAAGTGGATGAACTCATGGAGAAAGGCCACATTAGAGAGAGCATGAGTCCCTGTGCTGTTCCCTGTTCTTCTTGTTCCTAAGAAGGATGGAAGCTGGAGGATGTGTGTCGACTGCCGCGCCATCAATAACATCACTGTAAAGTATCGACACCCTATTCCTAGACTTGATGACATGCTAGATGAGTTACATGGCTCTTGCATCTTCTCTAAGATTGATCTTAAGAGTGGTTATCACCAAATCCGGATGAAGGAAGGTGATGAGTGGAAAACCGCCTTTAAAACCAAGCATGGTCTATATGAGTGGCTTGTGATGCCATTTGGCTTGACCAATGCGCCAAGTACTTTCATGCGGTTGATGAATCATGTTCTGAGGTCTTTCATTGGTCATTTTGTGGTTGTTTATTTTGATGATATCTGATCTATAGCAGGACCTTTGATGATCATCTTAAGCACCTTGCCGCGGTCATGAAAGTTCTCAGGGAGGAGAAACTGTTCGCCAACTTTAAGAAATGCACTTTTTGTACAACTAATGTGGTGTTTCTAGGTTTTGTGGTGAGTGCAGATGGCGTACAGGTTGATGAAGAGAAGGTCGCAGCTATCAGGGATTGGCCTAGTCCTAAGACCGTTGGAGAGGTCAAAGCTTTCATGGCTTGGCCGGATTCTATCGGCGATTTGTTAAGGATTTTAGCACTATAGCCGCGCCAATGACTGAGATTATCAAGAAGGAAGTTGGATTCAAGTGGGAGAAGGCACAGGAGGAAGCATTTCAGACTCTTAAGGATCGACTTACTAATGCACCTGTTCTTATGTTGCCTGACTTTCTTAAAACTTTTGAAATTGAGTGTGATGCCTCAGGAATCGGAATAGGAGCTGTTCTCATGCAAGACAAGAAGCCGATTGCCTATTTCAGTGAGAAACTTGGAGGAGCCACTCTCAATTATCCAACCTATGATAAAGAGCTCTATGCGCTGGTCCGAGCTTTGCAAACTTGGCAGCATTACTTATGGCCCAAGGAGTTTGTTATCCATACTGATCATGAATCACTCAAGCACTTCAAAGGCCAACAGAAGCTCAACAAGAGGCATGCTCGCTGGGCCGAGTTCATAGAAACCTTTCCCTATGTGATCAAGTACAAGAAAGGTAAGGACAATGTCGTGGCCGACGCATTGTCTAGACGGTATACACTTCTCTCTACTCTTGATGCCAAACTCTTAGGCTTTGAGCAAATTAAAGAACTATATGCTTCTGATGCTGATTTTTCTGATATTTATCAAGCATGTTCTAAGTTTGCTTCTGGACGATATGTGAGACAGGATGGGTTTCTCTTTTATGAGAACCGCCTTTGTGTGCCTAATTGTTCTTTGAGGGACTTGTTTGTCAGGGAAGCACATGGAGGAGGACTTATGGGACATTTTGGAGTCACCAAGACTATACAGATCATGAGAGATCATTTCCATTGGCCACATATGATTAGAGATGTGGAGCGCATCTGTGCGCGCTGCACTACCTGTAAGTTGGCCAAATCCAAGGTCCAACCCCACGGTTTGTATACTCCTCTCCCTATTCCATCACAACCTTGGACTGATGTTTCCATGGACTTTGTTCTTGGTTTACCCAGAACTAGACATGGAAAGGATTCCATCTTTGTGATTGTGGATAGATTTTCTAAGATGGCTCATTTTGTTGCATGCAATAAAACTGATGATGCATCTCATGTTGCTGCATTGTTCTTTAAAGATGTCATTAGATTGCATGGCATGCCGCGCACCATTGTTTCTGATCGTGACACTAAGTTCCTTAGTTACTTTTGGAAAACCTTGTGGTCTAAGTTAGGGACTAAGCTTTTATTTTCCACCACTTGTCATCCCCAAACTGATGGTCAAACTGAGGTTGTAAACCGGACTTTAGGAACCTTGTTGCGTGTGCTGCTTAAAAAGAATCTTAAGAATTGGGATGATTGCTTGCCTCATATAGAATTTGCTTATAATCATTCTGTGCATTCAGCATCTAAGTTCTCTCCTTTTGAAATTGTTTATGGGTTTAAACCCCTGTCACCTTTGGATTTAATGCCTCTGCCTTTGAGTGAAAGGTTGAGTACAGATGGACAGAAGAGAGCTGAGATGGTGAAGAAGATACACGAGCAGGCAAAGAAAAACATTGAGGAAAAGACAAGGCAGTATGCCAAGAAGGCCAACAAGGGACGGCGCGAATTAATCTTTGAGGCTGGAGATCAAGTTTGGATTCATCTTCGCAAAGAAAGATTCCCAGCCGAGCGCAAGTCCAAGCTGATGCCGCGCATTGATGGCCCTTTCACAGTCACCAAGCGAATCAACAATAACTCTTATAGAGTTGATCTTCAAGGTAAGTACAATATCAGTCCTAGTTTTAATGTTGCTGACTTATCTCCTTTTCTTGCAGATGAACCAGATTTGAGGTCAAATCCTTTTCAAGAGGGAGGGGATGATGCGATCATGGACAAGGAGGTTCAGGAAACACATCTTTTGGCCGAGAAGGAAGATGGAATGGAGCAGCTTGTAGCCGAGGAAGGACTTGAAGCAGAGCAGCTTGTACCTGAGGAGAGTTTAGCCATTCCAACTGGCCCAATCACTCGTTCAAGAACTAAGGCACTAAACCAAGCAATTGGCAAAGTCCTTAGCGCCTTGAACCAACAAGAAACCAAGCCAACTACTCTGGTTTGCTTGAAGGCCTTAACAATGGGATAAAGAGACAAGTGTGCTTTGGTGTGCTCTTTTTCCCTTGTCAAGTTTTTGTCCCTATGGGTTTTTCTTGACAAGGTTTTTAACGAGGCCCATTGCACACTTCCAAATCCTCTCTTTTCTCATTTGTGAAGGTCCGGCCCAAATATTCAAAGGAGAGCGCCAAGACAACCTTCTTTACTCAGTCTTTGTTTCATTTATGTTTTGTGAATTTTCGAGATGTTTTGGAGCTTGTTCCAACATCTCTCTCTCTCTCTTTCTCTCTCGTTTTCTTTAAAACCCTAGTCTGTCTCTCTTTGAAGTTTATCAATCAATTATTATCAAAACCTCTCTTTTTGTTTGATCATTCTCTGTTCACTTGTTGTGGTAATATCAACTAAGTCTACAGATTTCCTCTCACTTGTTGTGTGTAATATCAACAAGTTGGAGGTGGTGTTAGAGATCTCTTCCGCGGATCTCTAGTATAGCCATTCGATTCACTTTCCAATCCGCTCAAACACTTAGCTTTCAAGCCGATCTATTCCAGGGGCGTATCACCAACCCTGAGCTTACCACAGTAGTCAGGGGTGATAACATTGACTTCAGACCCCCTGTATACACATTGGTTGGGCAAGAGAACGTTTGCGAGAAGAGGAGCCTGAACTCGATCGAGCTGAGGATCGAGCTGAGTCTCAAGCTGAGGATCGAGTCCAGGAGAGTGCGGATTTGGGTGAGCCTGAGTGCTATTATTTTGAGGAGTATGAGGCTCCAAGGATGAACCCCTCTGTTGTGGCTGCCCACAAGAGGATTGGACTTCTCCAAAAGTTCAACAAATGGCAAGGGAAAGCCATTGAAAGATGCAAAAGTCCATGGACAAGATGGTGAGCAAGATCAAAAGTTTGGAGAAGAAGGTTTCTGGTTCTTCAAGCAAGAAGAAGAAGTCCAAGGCCCCCACATTCCCTAGGAGTAGATCACTCCTCACCACTCCAAGGAGGCTCCCTGCCCAAGAGCCTCACAGAGCCTCTTCATTTCGAGCCAAGGGAAGGAGAAGACAACTCGCAGAGAAGGAGGAAGAGCTCTAAGGCCAGACGCTCCAGCTCGACCACCGGACTCGATCGAGTCCAAACAGAGGAAACTCAACTCGATCGAGCTGACGGTCGAGTTGACCTGGAGGAGCCCAGTTTGAGATCCGGGATTTGAGTACGATCCAACGCCTTACCAGGAGCACCCTCAGAGTAGATGGAACCCCTATGGACAGTACGAGCTAGCCAGCTCCACCAAGGCCAAGGGAGCCACACACACTTCGATGAAGAAGAGGAAGGAGAGGAGCCGCAAGCTCGATCGAGTGAGGTGAACCCAGTTGAGTGGAGTGCTCCTGATGGCCGTCTACCATCTCCAGACCACGACCTAGCCTCCCAGTTCTTTGGGGGGCACTGAGGTATCCAAACACCAACCCTTGTATATACCATTTCATATTTTCTTTGCTTTTTTTTCTTGGTTTTGCCCTCTTGAATCTTTCACTAAATTTTCTCACACAAGGGACTGTGTGATTTAAGTTTGGGGGAGGGTTCAAGAGATGATTTAACCTTGTTTTCTTTGTTCTTAGTTTTTCATTCATCTTTTGCATAGAAAAACCAAAAAAATCATAAAATTTTCAAAAAATCCAAAAATATTTTCATCTTTTTGCATTCATATTTGTTAGACTTGTTTAGGATTGCATCTTTCACTTGCATTGTTGATTTGACTTTGAAAACTTGTCCATCTTTTGCGATTTCTTGAGTGCCCTGTTTTTAGATTCTTTTGTGCATTAGGGTGAGATTGATTGAGCAGCAAGAACCATGTTTATCTTGATCATATCACTGCATGCACATCTCATTCAACCATTGCTGTGATTTGATGCATTTCCCTATCTATTTGAACCATAACTTGATCTTTAATTACCAATGCTTGCATTTGATTTCAACTCATGGCTACCACATACATATCTGGACATTCTTTACCATTTTCATATCCCTTTGCTTGTCCAGATAGCTGATCTCTATCTTTGAGACAGTTACCACACCTTAAACCTAAGCCTTTTCATTTCAAACCCCTTATTATCTCTTGTGCGAATGTGAGAACCTTTCTTGGCTTTGCTTAGCATAAGGTGTTGTGTTTAAACCGGCAGGGGCAGTAGTTCTAGTTGTCTAGTTCTCTTGGGATTGTTTTCAGGCTAAGTTTGGGGGTGCCAACTCGAGCTCGATCGAGTTGGGTGTAAAAACCAGAAAAGTGGTAAAAGTTGGGAAAATCCAGGGAGTTGGCAGTGGAGTAAAAAGGGTCTAGTAAAGGTTTGGGAAGTTAAAAAAGGAAGTAAAAAGGGTTCTAAGTAGAATGAAAAGAAGGCAAAGCCTCAAGTGTCAAAAAGGAAAGAAAAGTTCCCTAAGTGTTTAGAAAATCCCAAACCGCTAGATGTTACCTCAAGAAGCCTCTCCCTAGGAAGTTCTTAAAAGAAAAGTGAGCAAAGCTCCTCAGTTTCAAAGGCGAAATGCCAAAAAGGGTAGTTAGGATTTTGTTCTAAAAAGCTCTAAGTGTTGAACTCGATCGAGTTAGGATTAGACGGCTCGAGCTGCTGTTCTTGCATCATCTTTGGTTCTAACACTTAGCCTTCTGCCAAAGCAAAGCCACTTTCTTGAGAGATCCCTGTTACTAAACCACCATACAAAAGAGACCCTCTTTGTCTCTTAACCCATAAACCCTTGAAACCAAATGAGTTGATTGATCTTGCATGTTTTTGGTTCACTGTTTTTGCTTAATGAATGTTAAAGGGATTTGCTGATTTGAATGCATTGTTTGAGTGACTGTGAAGTGGGATTGATGTTGATAAGCATGGTTAAATCTTAATGAATATCTCTCACCTTGTTGCATTCTAGAATCTCTAAGTTGGACATTTAGCAAATCGCTTTTGAGGACATGTTTTTAAGTGTTGAATCAACTGTTTTCAAACCTCATCTCTTTCTTGTTCTATTTGTTTGCTTGAGGGCAAGCAAAGTTCAAGTTTGGGGGTGTTGATGTACTTGCATTTTACATAGTTTTAGTACATCTTTTATGCATCTTTTGCATAGTTTTAGCATCCATTAGCATCATATCTTGTTCCTTTTCTCTTCTTATGCATTCATAGTAGTTTTAGGTTGCATTTGCATACATATGCATGTTTGGTCCTTTGAAATAGGTCTTTTGGAGCATTCTGGAGCATATGGGACATGAGGAGCATGGAGGACTTGGCGCATGGACGCAGCTCAACTGGATACGCAAAGGAAGAAGGAGGAAGCCATCTTGAAGACCAGCTCGACCATCTACTCGACCAACCGGTCGAGTTCCTCAACTCGACCGGCCAAGCTTCAACTCGATCGAGCTGAGAAGTCAAAGTCAAACCCGAAAAATGTTGCTTCCCCCTTGACTTTCCTTTGACCCTAAACCTAATCCTCTTGTATTTAAAGGCTAAAAGCCACGAAAAAACCACCAAGCTTTAGATTACTTTTGTTTTAGTTTCTTTTAATTTATTGTCTTTTACTTTTTAGAGCTCTAATCCCATCTTTGTGTTCTTGAAGCTCTTGCTTCTTGAATCCTAGATCCTGGATAATCTCTTTGTATTTGCACTTGCTTATTTCAATAAAAGTTGTTTATTTCATCTCCTCTTTCTTATGATGTCTCTTTTATTGCATTTGCTTGTGTTTACATTCATGTGTAGTGAGTAGTTACCCATTAGGGTTTGAGATGGGATAGATTAGAGGTTTCATATGCTTAATCCTTCTTGCTTATGGTCTTAATCTAGATTCTCTCTCTTTTGGATAATCTTAAGGCTACATGACCACTACCCCTGGCTTGTATGTCCTTAGGCGATTCTCCACATGGAAGTGATGGAAATCGCTGGAAAAGATCCACTAAGAGCTCCAATATCTCTTGCTCTAGAAATGAGGTCTAAGGGGTTGGATGGATTAGTTTGGGCAATGATCCTATGGCCTCCAAGGTTTGATTCTCACTGGCTAACCCCCTGTTTCTGAGATCATTCCTTGGTTGATAGCTTTCACCTTGGGAAAGGGTTGCTAGGCATTGAGAAGCCCAATATCAAGAGAAGCCTTGATACAAGGAGTTTTAAGAGCAGATTGATTAAGTGTAGCTTCCTCTGATTGCAAAACCCTGTCTTGAACCCTAATTCTCTTTAGCTTGTTAAAGTCGCTGCCTTTATTGCTTTTTACTTCAACTCGACCCTAAACTCGATCGAGCTCGGTACTCTGTTCCACTCGACTCGAGTCCTTGGTCGAGCTGTTGCTCTACTGCTTTATTTACTTTCTGCATTTCATTTCTTTTATTTAGGTTGTTAGTGTTACTTCAAATCTATTACTGCTTGCTTGACTTCCTTGTTGTTTCATATTCTCATAGAGTGACAAGTTTCCCATTTTGGATTGATAACCCTTTATACTATAACAACTATCATGGTTAAAGGGAATTGTTGACTGTGTTTGTGTTTGCATCTTACCACCTCATCATATACCACTGTTGCATTCCACCACATCTCATTTCATATCATTTCACACCACACACAAATCCTATCATCACCCTTCTCTCTCGTCACCACAAGAAAAAAAATCGAATCCCTCTCTTTCTCCCTCAAAGTTTTGCGATTTTCATTGTTCATCATCTTGTTTGCTTTAATTCTAGCTTCTGTGATTCTTCCATCATCCAAACAAGGTATGAACACTTAAACCCCCTGAATCCCTCATCTCGATTCTCTTTATTGCTTGTTTTCTCTTTGATTTTGATTGCATGTGCCCCTTGTGGGTTTACTCTTGAGTAATTGCTTTCATATCATTCTCCTGTTTATACCATTGTGAATTTGCCTCACCTCACCTCTGTTTCACTATTAGAACTTGTTTCATGTGCTTGAAACATTGAATTTAAGTTTGGTATTGGTTAAGATGCTTAAGGTCTAACAATAATTGCTTATTGTTCCATTAACTTGTTGTTCTTGGTTCAATTTGATTATTAAGCATCCTTTCCAGCTCTTAATATTCGGATTAGGTTCGGTTATACTCTGTTTTCGCTTAGCTCGATCGAGTTTGTCACTCGAGTTTTTTGACTCGATCGAGCTGAGTGTCGAGTTGACCAAACTGATCATTGCAACTCTAATTCTTTGTAATCTTTGATGCATTTCAGGTACTTTAGTGAAGAAACAGTGTAACAGAGATGACAAACAGTGAGGGAAGTCGCGCTTCACAGAGGAGAACGGTTGAGGGTGAATCAAGCAATGCAAGGGAGAGAAGGCTTAAAATGCAAGCCGATTTGGCGGCAATGACTCAAAGGATGGAAGAGTCTGATGCAGAGGAGTATGTATACTCTGAGGAAGAGTCTGAGATCGAGAGATTGAGGGAGGAAAGGAGGACCAAGAAGAGGAATGACCCCAATAGTAGTGAGAGTGAGCAAGGGGAGTTTGAGATTGGAGTGAACCTTGTTCAAGAGGAGGGTAATGGCTCTCCAAGTGAAGAAGGAAGTGATGAGTCTGAGAGTGAAGAGGAAGGAGAAGAGGTGAATCAGTTGGTTGATGAGAGTGAGCAAGAGAGTAACCAAGGTGAACCTATGGAGGAGGTTGAGCCACAAGAGGAGGAAGAAGAACTCCCTATGTACCAAGAGCACTACAATGCTCTCTTCTCCATGGACTTTGTGGAGACCAAGTACCCACATGTTGACACAATGAAGGCCCTTGAAATCTTTGAAGATGTGGAGCTAGTTCTCAAGAACATGCACTTGGGAAGGTTTTTCTCTCATCACATGGAATCCTACAAAGAGCTCACTTGCGAGTTCTTGGCTTCAATGAGGTACCACATGTACGATGAGGAGGATAGAGCTGATTTGGACCAAGGATTGGGATGGATCACGTTCTTGGCTAAGGGAGAGAAGAGAATGGTGACTTTTAGGCAGTTGGAGATCTTATTTTGGTTCAACTATGGAGAAGGTATTGAGTGGACCATTAACGAGGGGGAACTCAAGTTTCTTGACATGGGAATCAAGCCCATCCTCTCACGCACAAGCGATGGCAAGAGGATCAGGGGAGATAGATCCAACACAGGAAACTTGATGCCTTTCCTTGATCATCTCCTCACATACAAGACCACAGCCTACAACACTCGATATCAACAAGGGAGACGCCTAAGTGTTGGAGGGCTCATCACTCATATCTTGTGTACTGCTGGAGTGAACCCAACTGATAAGAGAGCCACTGAACCAGGTTGGATGGACATCAAGTTTTGCAAGACCAACCTCCTCATTGAGCACAAGGAGTTGGGTGGAAGGTTCCAATTCAAGTTCACACATCCATTGGCTTGCCCTTCCAAGCTTCTCCTGCCCAACCCTGAGCTTACCACAGTAGTCAGAGGTGAATACATTGACTTCAGACCCCCTGTGTACACATTGGTTGGGCAAGAGAACGTTTTGCGAGAAGAGGAGCCTGAACTCGATCGAGCTGAGGGTCGAGCTGAGTCTCAAGCTGAGGATCGAGTCCAGGAGAGTGCGGATTTGGGTGAGCATGAGTGCTATTATTTTGAGAAATATGAGGCTCCAAGGATGAACCCCTCTGTTGTAGCTGCCCACAAGAGGATTGGACTTCTCCAAAAGTTCAACAAATGGCAAGGGAAGGCCATTGAAAAGATGCAAAAGTCCATGGACAAGATGGTGAGCAAGATCAAAAATTTGGAGAAGAAGGTTTCTGGTTCTTCAAGCAAGAAGAAGAAGGCACTGATGATAGGATTTTACGTGGTGTGATATGATATGAATGAAGGGTGATAAGATATGAGGTGGAATGCAAACAGGGGTGAATAAAGATGAAATGGTGCAATCACAATCAATCAATTCCTCTTAACCATCATAGTCATGTAGTACAAGAGGTTATCAATCCAAAATGGGAAACTTGTCACTCTTTGAGAATATGAAACAACAGAAAGTCAAGCAAGCAGTAATAGATTTGAAGTAACACTAACAACCTAAATAAAATGAAAAGCAATGCAATAAAAGTAAACAAAGCAGTGAAGTAGCAGCTCGACCAAGAGCTCGAGTCGAGTCAGAACAAAGTACCAGCTCGATCGAGTTTAGGGACGAGTTGAGACAAACAAAGCTAAAGGTGACGACTTTAACAAGATAAAGAGAGAATTAGGGTTCAAGACAGGGTTTTGCAATCAAAGGAATCTACACTTAATCAATCTAGCTCTTAAAACTCCTTGTATCAAGGCTTCTCTTGATATTGGGCTTCTCAATGCCTAGCCAACCCTTTCCCAAGGTGAAGGCTATCAACCAAGGAATGATCTCAGAAACAGGGGGTTAGCCAGTGAGAATCAAACCTTGGAGGCTATAGGATCATTGCCCAAACTAATCCATCCAACCCCTTAGACCTCTATTGTCTAGAGCAAGAGATATTGGAGCTCTTAGTGGATCTTTTCCAGCGAATGCCATCACTTTCGTGTGGGGAGTCGCCTAAGGACTTACAAGCCAGGGGTAGTGGTCATGTAGCCTTAAGATCTATCCAAAAGAGAGAGAATCTAGATTAAGACCATAAGCTAGAAGGATTAAGCATATGAAACCTCTAATCTATCCCATCTCAAACCCCAATGGGTAACTACTCACTACACATGAATGTAAACACAAGCAAATGCAATAAAAGAGACATCATAAGAAAGAGGAGATGAAATTAAACAACTTTTATTGAAATAAGCAAGTGCAAATACAAAGAGATTATCCAGGATCTAAGATTCAAGAAGCAAGAGCTTCAAGCTACAGAGCTTCAAGAAGCTCTTGCTTCTTGAATCCTAGATCCTGGATAATCTCTTTTGTATTTGCACTTGCTTATTTCAATAAAAGTTGTTTATCTTTATCTCCTCTTTCATTTGATGTTTACTTCAATGCATTTCGTTGTTTATTTCATCATGTGTAGTGAGTAGTTACCCATTAGGGTTTGAGATGGGATAGATTAGGGGTTTCATATGCTTAATCCTTCTTGCTTATGGTCTTAATCTAGATTCTCTCTCTTTTGGATAGATCTTAAGGCTACATGACCACTACCCCTGGCTTGTATGTCATTAGGCGATTCTCCACATGGAAGTGATGGAAATCGCTGGAAAATATCCACTAAGGCTCCAATAACTCTTGCTCTCGAAATGGATTTCAAGGGGTTGGATGGATTAGTTTGGGCAATGATCCTATGGCCTCCAAGGTCTGATTCTCACTGGCTAACCCCCTGTTTCTGAGATCATTCCTTGGTTGATAGCCTCCACCTTGGGAAAGGGTTGGCTAGGCATTGAGAAGCCCAATATCAAGAGAAGCCTTGATACAAGGAGTTTTAAGAGCAGGATCGATTAAGTGTAGCTTCCCCTAGTTGCAAAACCCTGTCTTGAACCCTAATTCTCGTATTAGCTTGTTAAAGTCGCTGCCTTTATTGCTTTTTCCCTCAACTTGACCCTAAACTCGATCGAGCTCGGTACTCTGTTCCACTCGACTCGAGTCCTTGGTCGAGCTGTTGCTTTACTGCTTTTCTTTCTTTTACTGCATTGCATTTCATTTTGTTAGGTTGTTAGTGTTACCCTATAACTATTATGCTTGCTTGACTTCCTTGTCTTTTCATAATCTCATAGAGTAACATCTTCTCCCATTTTGGATTGATACCCTTTATGCTATAACAACTATCATGGTTAAAGGGAATTGTTGACTGTGTTTGTGTTTGCATCTTACCACCTCATTATTTACCACTGTTGCATTCCACCACATCTCATTTCATATCATTTCACAACCACACACAAATCCAATCATCAGACGGTAATGAAGTAGGACAGCTTCTTTGGCGAGATGAATGGTATGGTCTTGTAAAAGACTGTCTTGTCAACATTGGCTAAGGAGATTCACCTGTTTGGAAGGTCCATGACAGCTCCAGCAGTGGCCAAGAAAGGTCGGCCTAGTATCCAGGGCGTATCACATCCTCCTTTGATGTTCATGACATGAAAATCCACCGGGATCTTGGTATCTCCAATCTCTAGAAGAACATCAACTACAACTCCTCTTGGCTTGGTTATGGTGTGATTAGCAAGTCCAATACTAATCTGAGCAGGTTGTAAGCGTGTGATGCCAAGGAGTTTGGCAGTTTAGGTTGGCATGAGGTTGGTTAGGGGTGTTCAATTTGGTAAAACCGAACCGACCCGAACCGAACTGAACCAAAATAAGTCATATGGTTTGGATTTGGATACACTGTATAAACCGTATGGATGCAATTTTATATAAACCGTGGATATTGATATGGTTTGGATATTAACCGACCGAACCGCAAAAACCGCAAAAAACCGAATAACTTTATATATATTAAATTACTCATATAATAATATAAGTTTAGAGTAATAAATCATTAATTAACAAAAATTTAACAATTAAAAAACACTAAATAAAAAACCTAGATAAAGCGATCTTCCTCTTCTCATACAACAATATTATTATAGCAATTGTCTTCTTCTTCGTTAATCTTTTCTCTTACCCTAGACGTGAACTAAAGGTATTGTATGCCTTAAACAAGTTTTCTCCGTTTGTTCTACTTCTTTGTTTCATAAGTTAACTGATTTTCTTTTAATACTTATTCACTTGTAGATGAGCAAAAGGAATAAGACATGAGTTTGCATTTTTTATTTGAATTTGATCATTTTGATTATGAGAAAAATCGAAAACCCTAATTAATAAAATAATCATAAAACAAAAAATACAAATTAACCGAAAACCGAGATTATTCGACCCGAAAATATCCAAACCGCAAAAACCGAATCCAAACCGAAGTAAGTATGGATCTACTATGGTAGCTATTTTTTATTAACCGAAAAACCAAATACCGAAAAAACTGAACCGAAACCGAACCGATTCGGATATTTGGTTTCGGTTCAGTTTTTTCGGTATTTGGTTTTTCGGTTAATAAAAAATAGCTACCATAGTAGATCCATACTTACTTCGGTTTGGTTCGGTTTGGATTCGGTTTTTGCGGTTTGGATATTTTCGGGTCGAATAATCTCGGTTTTCGGTTAATTTGTATTTTTTGTTTTATGATTATTTTATTAATTAGGGTTTTCGATTTTTCTCATAATCAAAATGATCAAATTCAAATAAAAAATGCAAACTCATGTCTTATTCCGTTTGCTCATCTACAAGTGAATAAGTATTAAAAGAAAATCAGTTAACTTATGAAACAAAGAAGTAGAACAAAAGGAGAAAACTTGTTTAAGGCATACAATACCTTTAGTTCACGTCTAGGGTAAGAGAAAAGATTAACGAAGAAGAAGACAATTGCTATAATAATATTGTTGTATGAGAAGAGGAAGATCGCTTTATCTAGGTTATTTATTTAGTGTTTTTTTATTGTTAAATTTTAGTTAATTAATGATTTATTACTTTAAACTTATATTATTATATGAGTAATTTAATATATATAAAGTTATTCGGTTTTTTGCGGTTTTTGCGGTTCGGTCGGTTAATATCCAAACCATATCAATTCCACGGTTTATATAAAATTGCATCCATACGGTTTATACAGTGTATCCAAATCCAAACCATATGACTTATTTCGGTTCGGTTCGGTTCGGGTCGGTTCGGTTTTACCAAATTGAACACCCCTATCTTGTGGTGTCTCTCTGCAGTTGTGGAAGAAGGTGGTGAATGGGTAGTGGCGCCAAGCTTGTTGGAATGACATGCTGGCTGGAAGAGTTTGGACAAACTGATTGAACTCAGCAAGCTTCTCTCTTGATATGGAATTGACATACCATTCGGCTTGTGGTGTGGATGGTGGAGATGATGGTTGATTGACTGCATGAGGGGCCATGGGAAATCGAGCCTTCTGAAAAAGTTTATGTACTTCTTCCTTGGTTTCACCAGTTGTGAAAAAGAACTCCACTAAATCATGCTTGTTCCAAGCTTCTTCAAAAGTGACATAGAAAGGTAGTGATTTCACCTTAGCATTGAACTCTTTAAACTTCATGGGGCTTATCTTGTTGGGATCAATGGGATCATAATGCCAAGTATCCTCTTCTTCAGTAGGTGATGGTGGTCTTTGTATCACTTCCAATCTTGGAAGCTCAGAAGCTTGACTTCGTGGTGGTGGTGAGAAACGAGGATCAACAGGGCTAGGTGTATCCTTGCTCTGTTTTGGAGAAGCATTGATGTCGATGCCTTGTTATGCAACTCTTGATATTTGGCAGAAACATCAAGTCTAACAAGGTTTAGAGATCGATCATGGTCTTCTATAAGCTTCTTTATGTCTTCATCAAGCTTGATCACTTGCTTGAATAGGACTTCAGACTTATTTCCAAGACTCTCATGGATGAAATCGATTCTCCTCTCCATCTTCTTTGTACTCTCATCTTGATCCTTCAAATATTTTTGAAGCATCACTTCAATCTTGGTTGGGCGCACGGCTTGAGAACTCTCCTCAGCAAAAAGAGGTGTATGATTTATGTCTGGTGATGATGGATGGTGTCGTGAATAGCTGGGGCGGGGTGGTGGAACATAGATCGGAGCTTTTGCAAATCTGTAAAGGAAAGCTTCCTTGTACCTGTGCCAAGTCTTGAAGGTGTGTTGGGCATCGAAGTTCACCCATTCTTTGGCTCGTCCAACTAGTGATAGTTGGAACAATTGTATCTTCTTGGGGTTATCTCCAAGACCATAGTAGTTGCAAAGCTGCTCAAAGTGGTATAGATGCTTCTTTGCACACTCTGAAGTAGAATCATGGAAAGGGTCTCTCTCCACATGCTTGATTAGTTCTTCATTCATGATCTCAGGATGGGGTTGTATGCCTCCCCATTCTTCTTCATCACGCTCCACTTCTAGGTGATAAGAGTAGTGGTTGTACTTCGATTTGAAAGGTGGTAGCCTCACAAATCTCTTCAAAAATGCTTCTCTAAAATCGATCCATGACTCGATTGAAGAAAGCGGTTCATGCTGCGCCCAATCTAGAGCTGGTCCAGCTAAAGACATGCTGAATAGCATCATCTTCTTCTCAAAGTCAAAAACTCCATAAGAATCACAGATTCTCAAAGTGATCTATATGCTCCAGGCATACTCCGAAAATAGATCATGGAATTGATCTCTCTTCACGAACTCGATCAGTTCAGGGTCAATCTCCTCTTCTGGTGTGGCTAGAAGGTGTTCTTCTCTGTAAGATGCGGCTTGGCTAGACGTCTCCAGGTCGGCTGCTTCAAGGTAGGGAAGAAGTTCTTCTTGGACTTCAAGGGAGATAGTCTTGGAGGACTATCCCAAGAAGGTGGTGGTGCTTGAGGGCTTGACATCTCTTGTTCGTCCAAGAGGTCTCTTTGAGGTGGTATGTGGCGAAGTGGGATCGCCTTTATAGGGTCAAGGACTTGTGAATCCTTTTCCATATCTAACTAGGAAAACCTGAAAAGCTCAAAAACAAAAAGGAAAAACGAAATCAAAAGAAAAAGGAAAAATAACAAAACTAAAAAGGAAATAGAGAAACCCTAGACTAGCTCTCTTGCAAGAGCTTGTAGGTGCGAATTGGTCCCCGGCAACGGCGCCAAAAACTTGATCGCGGGATCAGGTCTTCCCTTTCCTATCCCTGATTCTGCAAGTGCACAGGTCAGAAGTAGTAAACGGGTATCGAACACGAGGACCAGATTGCACACTACAAACTATGATTGAGATCGAGCTAGGGCAAAAGTATAGTTGGTTGAGTGCAGTGAAAGTAAAGGCATGCAAGTAATTAAAGTAAAGAATTGAAATCAATAGGAGAGAGGGCTAAGCAATAGGATAGTCTTAAGATAAGCAATTCATGAAGCAAGAAATCAATCAATTAGGGTTATTGCAATTAGGTGCCATATCTAGAACTTGAAACACTATGGTATGATCTTTCCACTGTCGAGGCTCCGACCCCTTTGTTAATCTCCCTAGTCGCTAAACTTTTGGTATGTCCCTAGGTGATTAAATCAAGCATTAGTTCGATTAAGTTCAATTGTTCACAACCTACAAGTAAATCAACTTTCGCAGTCTAAAAGAGGTTGCCCACCAAATACTAGTTCAGGCGAATGATACAGCACTTTCGAGGCTCAAATCAACCTAGATCATATGCTAATTGGCCAGATTAACAACAAGCATTAAGTATAAGCAAAGATGAAGATTATAAGTAAAACCCTAATTGTGATCGATCATCAAGCATACATGAATGCTATCCTTTGACTTCCTATCACTTAACAAGTAAACTACTCAGACATAGAGAAGGAAACGAATTCATATTCATAAGAACAGAGATTCGAATCCTCTCTAGAAAGAGAACAAGCAAGAACAAAGTAAAAGCAAGCAAAACTTTATTAAAGATGTAAAGTAAATTGTGGTCTCTCTCCTTCTTGAGTTACAAGGCTAAAAAGAAGTATTTATAATGCTAAGTATAGAAAAGCGGCTAGACCTAATCTAGCTAAGTCGGCGCCGGCTTGGGCTTGAAACGTGTGAATTGGGCTTCAAAAACGGCTTCGGGTCGACCGGACGTTCGGACGGTCGGTTCGGCCGGTCGTCGGGTCGTGGTCGGCTACGGCAGGTCGGAACGATCGTGGCCGAGTTTTCGTGTTCGGCCGGGGTCGGACGGATGAAAGGTTTTGGCCGATGAATCTTGGCCGGCGCGGGGTGAGCTTCCTGGTCGGACGGTACGTCGGCCGCGGTACGTGAGTTGTGCGCGCGGCCGCGAGGCGTTGCCTTCCTCGCGCGGTACGGTCGCGCGCAGCTTGGCGTGTGAAAGTGTTTGGCCGACCGCGGGACATGCTTCCCGGGTCGGTACTGGGATCGGCCGTGGACTTTGGCGGGACGCGGATGATATGCGTGGCCGACGCGGATGTCGTTCCTCGGTCGGCCGGTGCGCTTCGGACGCGATTCTCGATAAGGCCGTCTGGACCAGTCTTCACTATTTTGATCATAACTCCTTTTCTACTCATCCAAATGATGCCAATCCAATTGCGTTGGAGTTAACTCACTCAGAGCACGCAGGGAACTGGTCTTGATGAAATCCATTGAGTAGATCTTTTTTAGCTCCTCCAAAGTTGATGCAGTGACATTGACTGGTTTGAAGTCCAAATCCTCTGTTTTGCTCCATAATGCACCTTTTGACCTAAAATGACTCTTTGCAGTATAAATCCATAAAAACTACCTTTTAAGACAAGAATCCACTAGAAAACCATTAGAAAACCATAGTAAAATAGCATAAAAAGCATGTAAAATAGAGGTATATCAGCCTTCACCAGGACCGACCCGCACGACCACACCGTTGGACCCAGGAAGCATTGCCCCACGGTCGACCAAGATTTACTACATGTCCCATGCAGCAGACCGAGCGCAGCAATCGATCCGGGAAGCAATGGACCGCACTCGACCCGTTCCTCAACATGCGATCAAAGCATCCGGCCGAACGCACCGGTCAACCAGGAAGGCAAAGGACTACGATCGACCCAGGTCATCACGTCACGACCAAGACCATCACATAATGGCCGACCCCGACGGCCGACCACATCCCTTACACGGTCGACCCGAGCTCCGCGAACAAGAAGCCCACTTATGCAGTTTGACTATTCTTGGCCCGTCTTACCTCAACCGACTTGTGGAAGACCTAGGGCACTATAAATACTCCTTTTTAGCCTCTTTAGAAGGGATAGCCGCATTAGTTTTAGAGTTTTCTTACATTGATTTCGTTTTAGAGCTTCATGGGAGAAGATCTCACCTTTGTAACACAATAGAGGAGATTTCTAAACCCTTTTACTTTCTATCAAGTTTTATTATGAATTCTTCTTCATCTCTTTGCTTGATATCTGTTACTATGTTTGAGTAATCTCCTGTTGGGTTTAAGAGTTTTCAAGGGTTTTCATGGATTGATTGTTAGGTTGCTAGATTAGGGTTTTATCATTAAAGTTCTTCATCTAAGTTTGTGTTTATTGCTTGTAGCTTGATTGACCGTCTAAGCTACTGTTCTTAAGTAGATTTACTTTCTGACCGTTTGTTAAATCTCTTGAATCAACTTAGATGAGCAGGCATAGTAACCTACGGAAGTAGAATTGCAAGGCTTTGTGAACTAGACCTACGGAAGTAGAGCTATCGAATTTGACTGTTCTTACATGTTTAATCTCTTGATTACCTGCGGAAGTTGTGTGATTTAGGTTGTTAGACATAGTAATTGGCACTGCGGGAGTAGGTCAATTATACTTATTGATTGAGTTCTAGAACAAAACTATTACTTTTCCTATCTATTTGCTTGATCCAATCTATGAAACCTTGCGAATTCTATGATGCCCAATGCTTTCTCTATTGCTTTCACCTTATTTACTTTACTTTGCTTTGAATCCGTGACAACAACAAACCTTCATACTTGAGTCCTAGCTTGATTTGAATCTCATAAACTCATAGTGTAACTTATCTGGTCCTTGTGTTCGATAACCCATACTACCAACGATCCGTGCACTTGCGGTATCTAGTAATAGGATTGGGTAAAACTTAATCCACATCAATTTTTTGGCGCCGTTGCCGGGGACCAATACAGTTGCCTTTGAGTTTCGGATTAGAATCTAGTCTAGGATAGCTTTAATTTTCGTTTTTATTTTTGTTTCTTGGTTTTTCTTGGTTTTTGTTTTTATTATTTTGTTACTTTTCTCTATCTCTTTGTGTTTCAGGTTAGCTTGAGGAAGAGATAGGACCTCTTGAAGAAGATATCACAATGGATCCTCAAAACCGCACCATTGGAGAGTTTGACTCACTAGACATCTTTTTCACAAAACGCCAACCTATATGCCCTTACCACCTACTGGAGAGTTCAAGATAAGCTCTAAACTCATTGCTTTGGTGGAGCAGCATCAGTTTCGTGGCCTAGAGAGAGAAGCCCATTGATCATATTGAGAAGTTTGAAGAAATCTGCGCTACAAGGAGATGTAGTGGAGTTTCTGAGGATTACTTGAAGTGTACTTTATTCTCTTTCTCTTTGGTTGAGAAGGCATACAAATGGATGAGGGCTCTTCCAGCAGGATCAATCACTACTTGGGATGAATACAAGAGAGCTTTCTTGAAGAATTTCTACCCAAAAGAGAGATTAAAATGGATGAGAAGAAGAATCTCAGAATTTCGACATGAGGCACATGAATCATTCTTTGAGGCTGTTTCACGGTTCAAGGAGTACAAGAGAGAGTGCCTCACCATGGTTTTACAGAGATTGCTTTGCTAAACTTCTTCTATCAAGGAGTTGATGAGAAATTCAAGATGGCACTCAACATCGCAAGTCAAGGGGACTTCATGACTAATACAGTTGCTCAAGCCAACATCTCATTGATAACTTGGCTGCAAGCAACAAATATTCTTGCTTGATATGAGAAAAACGTGGAGCATCAAGCCAAGTTCAGACTTTTCAGAAATCCTTGAGCTGAAATCAATGGTTGCTCAATTTCTCAAGAACCAGCAAAGGGATGCATACCAATGTGAAAATGGGAGCTTCTCATGGTAAGGATAAAGAGGAGTGTAATGGTGATAACACTCACAAGCAGCAAGGAGAAGTCAACTACATTGATGCTAGAGAGGAAAGAATCGAAGCTATGATGCAACAGCTAATGGAAAATCAACAACATATGATGGAAAGACAAGAGCAAAACGCCCAAGAGATTGAAAACCTTGAGTTCAAAATGGCGAACGACTATGGTCATCTCAACAGAAAAGATGATGAGATATTTGCAAAGCTCTTTGATCTAACCAATCATGTGAAGATGCTTGAGGTGCAAGTTGCTCAAACAGCAGAAGGTATGAAGAGGCAAGAGGGTTTTCTTCCAAGTAAGACTGAGTTAAATCCAAGAGTTTGCAAAGTTATCACAACTCAGAACAAGGACGTGGTCTCACCAGCCCCTAGAGATCATTCAACCCTCAAAAACCCATTGGAATGGCCTGAAGATGATGAGCCAATCTACAAGGGACCTCATCAAAGAAAGCTGCATAAGATGGAAGATCCAGGGCAATTTGTTTTCCCATGCACAATCAATGGTATGGATTTTATTGATTCCCTCTGCGATACAGGAGCTAATGTGAATGTTATGTCTAAGGTTATAGCAGATGAGCTTGGAATAGTTGACATTAAAGACTCTCAAACATCACTGAAGTTTGGAAATGCCTCTACTATTACCCCATATGGCTTTGCTCAAGATATATTGGTTCAAGTGGGAGGTTGTCTTGTTCCTACAGATTTACATATTTTTTGACGGAATGGTTTTAGACCATGTTCCGGTGAGTTTTCCGGCGAAGACGTTCGTCGGAATATCCGGATGTTGGGCACGATGAAATCGTCGCCATGAACACTATGAAATAGTATATTCATATGTCAAAATCAGAGTTGTTTTGAATGAGAAATGAAGTTTATAAATGGGTATTTATAAAAGCTTATAAAGTTTTATATATTTGCTAAGTGTAAAAATTAGCAACTAACCCATATTAAATTATGGATTTGAAGTTGGGTTTATAATGGTTTATTGGGCATCAAGTCCATTAGAATATTATTGTGATCCAAATTAGAGTTGATCTTTTTGTGTTAAGATTTAATCTCACACAAGAAAAGAAATCCATGTAATTAAATATTATTGCTTTGAAAAATTGGTCAAAGCAAATGCTATAATAACGTGGTCAAGTCGTGT